TGGTGATCCTGCCTACCCGCTGCTGCCGTACCTGATGAAGGAATATGCATCCGGTGGCTCCACAGCTCAGGAACAGTACTTTGGGCTATCTCTGTGTAGGGCACGTATGGTCATTGAGTGTGCTTTTGGTCGCCTCAAGGCCAGATTTGCTGCTCTTAGAAGGCCTATGGACATAAACATGGATGACCTGCCCCATGTAATTTACTCCTGCTTTGTCCTCCACAATTTGTGTGAGGCCAGTAAGGACGCTGTGGATGATCAGTCTGTGTTGGTAACAATTCAAGCTGAAAAGGACTTACAGCCTCCCACAGCTATCTCACTGACTGTAATGAGGGGGAGGGAAAGAGAGTGAGGAGAGTGCTTACGGCGTACATTGACCCTTAGGTCAACTACATGAAAGACAGACTGTAATTTTTTTTAAAGGTGTTTATTAAGATCTGATAAACATTCTTTGTTACATTCCCTGTCCTCACTGTGCAGCTCCTTCAGCGACAGGCTGCTGTACAATATTCATATACCTGGCTAGGTATATGTATATGTACCTGGCTGCTAAATCTGAGGACTGTTACAGGATTTTTTGTGTATATATACATAACTTCATAACTTTTTTTTAGTACTTTTTAATGCATGTGACATATGTGAAACTAAGCAAATAAATATGTGATTCTCCAATGTCCAAAGTGTGAAATTAAAAATAAAATTGGCTGCAACCACTTCCAGACTTTTCTTTGAACATAATGTGCAACAAATGTCATCATCCTCATGAATGAAGTTATATGGGCCATTCTACCGAATTGGACCAAAGTCAGGTTGGAAATGTTTAGAAATTGTGTATGTTTTTTCCCCAAAACTTTGTCCATATATATTTTGTACCATATCTAAATTACACATATAGTAAAAGAACCGTACATTTTGATATCGTATTTTCAGACTGTATTGGCATGTTCTTCCTCTACCAAAAATGGTCACTAGCGAAACATAGTACATACACTGTAGTAAAAAAGTATTATATTAACCTGTTAAGATTGTGTTACCTTCCCTTCTCTAAATAGTATTTTAACAAATATTTGAGGGTTTTCACAGTTAAAGTAATATAAGTGAATGTTGAATCAAAGTTGAATTTATACAATTCATAAAAATCATAATGCAAACTTTCTTTGTAAAATGCATAATACTGATCATATATATTCCAGAGTTGATTGTTGAAATTTAACATACATTAAACCAATCAGTATCAGCACTTTAGCAACAGGCTATAGAGGGGAATGAGGCTATAATGGGTGATCTTTTTGGTATTTTGAGCAAAACACTTCATAGACATGTTTTTTATATATCTGAGACCTATAATATATGCCTAACAATAGTTTGGGCTTTACCATTAAAGCCCAATGTGACATATCACAGTTCAGATATTTGACACTAGGGGGGGTTACTTTTCATAAATGTGGTGTATTTAGTCGAAATTATGTTTACAAGGTGAAAAGGACTTACAGCCTCCCACACACTGAAATAGATATCTCACTGACTGTAATGAGGGAGAAGGAAAGAGAGTGAGGAGAGTGCTTGCGGAGTACATTGACCCTTACATGAAAGACAAGACTGTTCTTTTTTTTTTAAAGGTTTTTATTAATAACTTTATTAAGGTGTACACAGTAAAAGGAAAAAAAACACCTTTGCTAGCTACAAAATAATATAAAAAAAAATGTGATTCTCCATTTGTGCAAAGTGTAGAGTTAAAAATAAAAATGTTTCCAGAGTTCCTTAGAACATAAAGTGCGGGAAAAAAAAACTGAAGCTCACTGCTTTATAGGTCCTCCTCAAACAGTGACTGCCTGAATGAAAAAGGAGGAGATTGTTGCTGTGGGGTGTCAGGGTTCATCCCATGCGTGTGTGGTAGAGAGGGGTTTGCTCTTGGTGTGTGGCCGGGTGTGGCCTTCGAGGAATGAATGGGTATGAGGGCACCTGGAAGTGTCCATATCCACTGTTGCTACTGTAGGGGGGTGCTTGCATTAAATGGCTGATCAGGGAAAGGCCATTCTGAATAGTGCCGTTAATGTTGTCCATGGTGGTATTCATCCGATCCATGCTGGCTGCGCTGCGGCTGGATGCTTGCTCCATTAGGTCCAACATCCTGTTTTTTACTTTGAGCTCTTCCTGCACCGCATGTTCAGCTGGAAGTTTTCTCTTCATGCGGTCACTTCTGTGGCCGTTTAGCCGTGCCTATAATAAACCAGAGAAAGTTTGAATTATTACACAATAGGACCATAGCCACCAGATAACAGAACACAAAAGGCATGTTGTGAAATAGCTCTCAATACATTTTACAAATACAACAGCTCTCAATACTTTCTAATTTTACAAAGCTTAAACCGGTTCAGTTTTTCAGTGGAAGGTACTGCATCATAGTATATAGCAAGCCCGTTAAGCTTGAAATCATGAACATACCTGGAGCAGATCCCTGCGATGCCTCACAACCGCAGCAGTTGGCAGACTTCCGTTTGATTCACTCGACTCTGGCGAATCGTTGGGACGCTCCAAACTCTGAGAGGAACTTGGTCCGGGCGACGACTCTTCCATGTCGAGCAAGTCCCCCGTCTCGACGCCGGAGCTATGGGGGTGCATAGCAGGCGAGCCACCCCAGATCTGCTCACACAGCTCGAAGAACATGTACACAACACGTCCTTGGCCACTCCGACGGCCGAGGTCCACCGCCTGCCTGTACTTAATACGTACTTGCTTTAGCTTCGCTGTAAGCTGGCCCTGTGTAATGGAGTTCTTCTCGTGAGGGAAATCTTTCTCTGTCGGGGTCCTCGGATATTGCGCCTGAAATAAGTCCCCTATCTCAATATATTTTGGCTTGCAGGACTCCCAGTCTACATTATCCTGTATTTTTGTAGTTTTGTATTCTAATGTCACATGTAGAAGAAGTTCCACCTCATCGTCAGTCCACGAAAATAGCTCCTTTCTTGCGCGAATAACAGCCATCTTCTACCTTGTTTGTTTGTTTTGTTTGTGCCTCACACACGTCCGGGGGGGATCTTATACTCGCTGCTTTTGGTGTATTTTGTGGCGGAAGTTACAGCGCCACTTACAGTCCCGGCATATGTACTACAGCGTTTCCAGCGGCCTCGTTTGAACAGACACGTTAAATGAAATGAATGCATGTGAACGGAAGACTTTTTTGAAAACGCATACTGTGCATAAACACAAACGTTCCCGTGTGAAAGCAGCCTCAGTCTCACACCTCCACATCCCCCTCCCCTTCAGTGTCCCACTCTCCTACGCCACTGCCCCCCCCCCCGACACATCAGACTCTCTCTCAATCAATGAAAGGGATGTAAACAGACTTTTCAGAAAACTTAATACCAGAAAAGCGGCTGGCCCTGACAATGTCTCCCCCTCCACCCTGAAGCTCTGTGCTGATCAGCTGTCTCCTGTGTTTAGCGACATCTTTAACACCTCATTGGAGACATGCCACGTCCCAGCACGCTTCAAAACCTCAACAATCATCCCAGTTCCCAAGAAAACAAGGATCACAGGACCAAATGACTACAGACCCGTCGCTCTGACCTCTGTGGTTATGAAGTCCTTTGAGCGCCTTGTCCTGTCCCACCTGAAATCCATCACAGACCCACTCCTGGACCCCCTGCAGTTCGCCTACAGAGCCAACAGGTCTGTGGACGACGCTGTCAACATGGCCCTTCACTTCCTCCTCCAGCACCTGGACACACCAGGAAACTACGCCAGGATCCTGTTTATGGACTTCAGCTCCGCCTTCAACACCATCATCCCGGCTCTGCTGCAGGACAAGCTCTCCCAGCTGCACGTGCCCGACTCCACCTGCAGGTGGATCACAGACTTCCTGTCTGACAGGAAGCAGCACGTGAGGCTGGGGAAACACGTCTCTGACACCCGGACCATCAGCACCGGTTCCCCTCAAGGCTGCGTCCTTTCACCCTTGCTCTTCTCCCTGTACACCAACAGTTGCACCTCCAGTCACCAGTCTGTCAAGCTCCTGAAGTTCAGACGACACCACCCTCATCGGACTCATCTCTGGTGGGGACGAGTCTGCCTACAGGTGGGAGATGGACCATCTGGTGACCTGGTGTGGGGAAAACCACCTGGAGCTCAACGCTCTCAAGACAGTGGAGATGGTCGTGGACTTCAGGAAGAACGCAGCCCCACCCGCCCCCATCACTCTGTGTGACTCCCCAGTCACTGCTGTGAAGTCTTTCCGCTTCCTGGGCACCATCATCGCCCAGGACCTCAAATGGGAGCAGAACATCTGCTCCCTCATCAAAAAAGCCCAGCAGAGGATGTTCTTCCTGAGGCAGCTGAAGAAATTCAACCTGCCAAAGACGATGATGGTGAACTTCTACACCTCCATCATGGAGTCCATCCTCACCTCCTCCATCACCATCTGGTACGCTGCAGCCACAGACAAGGATAAGGGCAGGCTGCAGCGTGTCATCCGCTCTGCAGAGAAGGTGATCGGCTGCAATCTGCCATCCCTCCACGACCTGCATGCCTCCAGGACCCTGAGGCGGGCAGGGAAGATAGTGGCCGACCCCTCCCACCCCGGACACGAACTGTTCGCCCCCCTCCCCTCTGGCAGGAGGCTGCGCTCCATCAGGACCAAAACCTCACGCCACCTGATCAGTTTCTTCCCCTCTGCTACCGGCCTCTTAAACAAGGCCCGGCCCCCCCGCTGATACTTTACCTCTGCCACATTATAGACTATATGCATTACATTAATGCACACAATGTTCCTACTCCTTTCTGCACATATTCTGATTTCACATTTCTTAGTTTATATGCAAAAATGCATTCATAACATTCTATTTCCATGTAAACTACTGCTTTATTTATGTTATTGCTATTTAACTGTATTTTATTACGGTGTAAAAAAGATTTTGTGTTTTATATTAGATTTCTTGTTTTTTATATTTTATGTATGCACCATGACATCAAGTCAAATTCCTAGTATGTGTGAACCTACCTGTTTCTGATTCTGATTCATACCAAGGGTTTATTACACTGTGTCAATGATTGTGGTATGAGCATCTGCTGGGCTGGTGCCGTTCTGTTCTTGCTGGTGGAATCGGTATGCTCTTCCTCCTGTGTCCACGTCATTTCCTGTCACCTGTGACTGCTTTTATACACCCGGTGCAGCTAAACCCCGCCACCAAGTGTTCAAAATAGTATTGTAGTATAAATATAAATAAAGTAAACTGACATAACAACAACACCCCTAAATGGCTCCTACAGTCCCTTCCAACACAACAGCCACGTCTCGCACATTTGGTGATATGGTGGCATCATCATCTTCAATGACAGTGAGGATGGCCACAGACACACCTCTGAGCAATCGTTCTTCATGGTCAGTGTCCTGAGGAAAAGTAAAATATGAATGAATGAGTGCTATGGAAAACTAAATGACAAAATACATATCCTCTGATTCTAACTTTAGCACCAAGCTACTGAGTCTTACCATTCAGCTTGTGGAAGTTATAATTGCAACTCAACAGCACGGCTGCTATCACCCACCAACCTTGTTGTGCCGAGTTCAATAAAGAAGTATTTTCTGACAAAGAACACCAGACAACAATGGCCAGCTGTATCGGGTTGGCTGTTGCTCAAACAGCGCTGATATTTATTTTAAATTTTGGGTGAACTCATCGCGCTCGGATTCATGAGGTGAAAACATCTCTGGGCTCAAAATTAAATCTTACACAAAGTGTATTATGCATAAAATGATTAGCATAAGCTATGAGGTCATAAAATGTTTAAGCTACATTAAGCGATATTACTTGTATTGTGTACGTTTATTTCCTACAGTTAGTATTACTTACCAAACACTCCAGAAGAAACTTGGTTGTGTCATCTCGGCAGGCCTCTCAGTGCTGCTGTCTTTCGGTGAGACACAATGTCGGATGTCTAAGGAGTACCCAGTGGAAACACACAAACATATCAATTAGTTTAGTGCCGTAGTGAATTTATACAAAATCCGATGTTCTGTATAGTAATGAGGAGGATAAAGAACAGGTCAGATCCCAGTAACATGCTTCAGTAAAAGACTGGCAAAAAGTTAAATATACTGTTATAGTTCTCAAATTCCACCGACTAAGAACACCAAGCAATGACTTTTAACATCCATTTTTACTGAAGCCTTTCCATCAAAGCGTTTTTGCTCCTACAAATGTTAGGCGAAGGAGCATTTCATATTTTCAAACGGGGGAAAAGGGCTTTGGTGGACCCGGCTCCGGCCAACTTTTGCATGCTCTTAGATTGAGGCACTTCACTCACTTGTTCAAGTTTTTCCAAGAGGTCTTCCATCTTCTGTCCAAAAGCTCCCTTCCTAGCCCGGTACAGTTTCAGCAGGCAAGGCACATGTTTGTCAAAGGCTGCACCGAACATCCCCAGGAGGTCTTTGCTGGTGATCCGATGAAATTCTTCAGATATCTGAAAAACACAATAACAAAACAATGTAATTTGATTGTAACCACAATGTCATGTTTTTTCTGTGCAGCAAATTCCTGGGTAGCCGTGTTGTTCAAAGTCTGCATCATCTGAAGGGGATAGTTTGGATGTTTTGAATTGAAAAAAAAACTGGTATTACAATTTTGGGGACTGATTGAAAAGTGGGGCGTAGTGTGTTGGAGGGGCCTGTAGTGGAGTGGTAGGACAGGGTATAGTATAGTTTGCCAATTGACTGACATACACAGTCAGTGTGAATACAGGGCCAGTTCGCACCTTTTCCGTGACAAAGGCGACAATGTTTTAGAAGAGTCTCTTGATTGGAGCTTGCAAATCTGCAAAATCTGCACTGCATGTGATCCACCCCTGAAACACAAGAGAAACATATAGGACATTCAGTTCAGTCAGCACTCGCAGAGATATCATTTTTGAAACTTTTAATTAGTTAGTTTTCATCCTTTCCTTATATACTTCGTAGGACTTAACAAAACAACTATTTAAAACTCAGTTAATGGGGTTAATTTTTAAATTGCTTCAGTTTATCATCGTAACAGATCAAAACGTTCGGATTCATTTTACAATAAATCAATAAATGGTATTCTTCTACAAACAAAAAACAAAACAATTAATACATTTAAACAAACCACTAATAGTATATTAACTACTTCATTCAAAATTAACATTCACTTTAGATAATAACACCGGTATAATAAACGGAGCGCTCTCTTTTCCTCTCTCTCTCTCCTGACAGCCTGTCAGTATCTCATGCAGCTCGCTACTCCAGTAATGAGTGACCCGACAGTGAAGAATAAACATGTATAACTAGTTTAGCTAGTTCCAGAGGTAGATAAAATAGCTAAGTGTGTTTGGTCTAACTTGAAACGTGTGTTTTGCTCCGCTCACCGGTCCGATACAGCGGCTGAGCTTCAGGTGATCACGGAGCTGCGTGACCTAAACAATAAGTGTTGCTTGGCAACAGGGTGTGGCGGCAAAGTATATATTTTTTCTCTCTCTCTTAATTCCCCATGCCCCAAAATTCACTCCATGATTAATATACCCGTTTTAGGAAAAGTCACGAAGTTTGAGATGTTTTTTACCCTCAACCAAACAAGACCTGTAACACAACAATGTCAGAGTCACCGGTGGCCGGCTACCCCAATAAACAGACGTTACTAACCGCTAAACAGCAGAACAACAATGTTTCTGTTTCTGGTTTAGTTTACGACGGATATATTCTGTTATTGTTTTGATATTTGTAACACAAAAGCGATGTAAATAACCCACAGCAACACAGAAAAGATGGTCTTAACATGACCCAGCGGTCTAGTAGTTAATAAAAAACAATAATATCAAAACAAATTATTACTACTAACTTTATTGTGAAATTAAAATAGAACGGTAAAAGAATAGTTTCCTGTCTATTCTGAGGCCCGATCTCTGTAGATAAATAAAGAACTACGACAGATGTGTAATGTTTAATGCAGCCGAACCATTCATTACAATGCATTCATGTGATGACTTTCAAAGAGTAAAGCAAGCACTGCTGAATAAACAAAAAATCCATAAAAAAATATCATCTGTGGAAGCCGTAGTACTGTAAAAAGCACGACCAATCATCTGAGCCGGCCCGGCTAAAATAACTGGATGGCCTACCTGCCTGTCAGCCTTCCATCTGTGCACAAACTTATCTCGTGCCCTCATTGGTCATGTGCGCGTTCGTGTGTGTTGGAGGAGGGGCTCTATAAGGAAGTGGCAGATTTTCTCCGGTTGTGTATTTTCAAATTCTAGCGATCTCGAGCCGGTTTCTCAAACTTACCTACCCTACCTTTAACGGTTAACTGAAAAATCCTTGTTATGCTGTGTTTTAAATACAAGTGAGGGGGAGGGGAGAGTTGGTCTCACGTTGGAACAATGTAAATTCATTGTAGGGAATTTCAACGTTGAAAAACCGGCATCTATATTAAATTGATTAAACAACATTTGTTCAAATGTTGAAATGGTATCTGTAATAACGTAATAATAACACATCGAATCAACATTTGATTTTTCAACCTCAACCAAAAATAACCAATTTAACCAAAATCCAATGTTGAATTAATGTATTTTGCTATCAGGGTAGCTTGTGAATTTACTCCAGGTGGAACTAAAGTCTGATTCAACACTTGATTATATTTCACATCATTCATCCAGATCTGCAAAGTAACTAAAGGGATTAAATACTTGTAGTGGAGTACAAGTACACCATTTACCTCTGAACTGTAGTGTAGTAGAAGTACAGAGTAGCATAAACTGGAAATACTCAAGTGAAGTACAAGTACCTCAGAATTGTACTTAAGTACAGTACCTGAGTACATTCAATTTCACCTAAATCAGGTTTCACTTTAAACCAATCACAGCCCTGATTTTACCTACATATGCAAATAACAATATACATATAAAAGAGACATCACACGCCTCTTTAAAGGTGCCGTGTTCTCAAAGCCCATGAGTGTCTTTACCCCTTTGTCTGCACTGATGAGTTGTTGACAACATTTTCCCTCTATACATGGACAACAATGGTTAAAAAATATCTTATCCAACAGGTTTTATCAGCATACATCTGGTTTACTCTCAGCAGTGTAAAATGTGTTGTTTTCCAATGTTATGTGATTTACACACGCCTATATGGTTCCAGAATTGGCCGCTCTGACGAATGAGTTTTGTACTTCTATACTATTTCTACTGTGGTGGAATTTAACCAATAGAAACTAACAAATACTAATAAAATGGTGAGGAATAGTTCCTGTTGTACTGAAATAAGACCGTCTTTTAAGTGATATATTCTGGCAAGAAGGTTAAAGATGACACAGGCCGTCTGCAGAGGATTTTATAGAAACATTTTGGACTAGATTGTCAAGAAAACTATATTTTAATTTAAATCCAGCAGCATCGCCCTGGTTTCCTCAATTAAAAACCAATTGGATTTTTCTGTTGGATTATTGCAGAAAATAATCATGTTAAACAAACGTTTAAGATACTTACACATTTTGTTCATCAGAATTATCTCCATATATTAAAACCACTTTATGATTTCTGAAGTAAAAGTTGGGCTATAAAGGAACTACAGCACGGTCACATGACTTCACGTCACCACCGCTAAGCTAAAAGCGGCTAATGTTCCAAGTCACAAAAAACTAAGGTAATTCCTCTGTGGAGCTGAAAGTCCTGCTACACTTTAGAAGCTTCATTAAGACTGTACAACTGAATGATACTCTATGAGCTACTTTAGGGTTAAAATGTCCCGTACTGCAGAGATGAAATGAGGTTAAACCAGTTTACAGAGGCTGATGAGTGGCAGGTGTTTGTCGAAGGAGACACACCTGTGTGTTACAGGTGAACAGAGAGACTAACCAGGAAACACTTTGTTATTCTTCCTCACTGCAGAGAGACAGACGGACTGAGAATCAGACGATCAGACGGTGACTGACTGTACTTCCTGTCTGCTGTGTTTCAGCTTCACTCAGAGACAACATGGCTTCCAGATCAGAGGAAGATCTCTGCTGTCCGATCTGTCAGGAAGTCTTTAGAGATCCTGTTGTTCTGTCCTGTAGCCACAGCTTCTGTAAAGCCTGTCTGCAGACCTGGTGGGATGGGAAAGAAGTAAAGGAGTGTCCAGTCTGTAAGACAAGATCATTGATGGATCATCCTCCCTGTAACCTGTCTTTAAAGAACCTGTGTGAGACCTTCTTACTGGAGAGAGATCAGAGATCTTCAGAGGCTCTCTGCAGTCTGCACTCTGAGAAACTCGGACTCTTCTGTCTGGACCATCAGCAGCCAGTGTATCTCGTCTGCAGAGATTCAAGAACACACATCAACCACAGATTCAGACCCATCGATGAAGCTGCTCAGGATCTCGGAGAGGAGCTCCAGAAGTCTCTGCAGCCCTTTGAGCAGAAACTGAAGCTCTTTGAAGAAGTTAAAGTGAAGTTTGATCTAACAGCAGGACACCTGAAGGTCCAGGCTCAACGCACAGAGACGCAGATTAAGGAGCAGTTTAAGAAGCTTCACCAGTTTCTAGAAGAGGAAGAGAAGGCCAGGATCGCTGCCCTGAGGGAGGAAGAGGAGCAGAAGAGAAGGATGATGAAGGAGAATATGGAGGCTGTGAGCAGAGAGATAGCAGCTCTTTCACACACAGTCAGAGACACAGAGGAGGAGCTGAGAGCTGAAGACGTCTCCTTCCTGCTCAACTACAAGGCTGCGGTGGAGAGGCTGCAGCGCCCCCTGCTGGAGGATCCACAGCTGCCCTCAGGAGCTCTGATAGACCAGGCCAAACATCTGGGCAACCTCAGCTTCAACATCTGGATCAAGATGATGGACATGGTGTCCTACTCTCCTCTCATCCTGGACCCAAACACTGCTTATCCAAACCTCATCCTGTCTGAAGATCTGACCAGTGTGAGACGAGCAGGAGGGAGACAGAAACTTCCTGATAATCCAGAGAGGTTTGATAATTACATCTCTGTCCTGGGCTCTGAGGGCTTTAACTCAGGGACTCACAGCTGGGATGTCCAGGTTACAGACTGTACACGCTGGTTACTGGGTGTGTCAGCAGAGTCTGTCCAGAGGAAGGGAAGCATGAAGTCTGGATTATGGGGAATATGTTTCTATGGAGGTAAATACTCAGCATGTTCACCACCAGGTCCACCCACTCGTCTCCGCCTGAAGAAGAAGCTCCAGAGAGTCAGAGTGGATCTGGACTGGAACAGAGGGAAGTTGTCGTTCTCTGATCCTGACACTAACGCACACATACACACCTTCACACACACTTTCATTGAGATGATGTTTCCATACATTAACACTGCGGAGGAAGTGAAGATATTACCACTGAAGGTGTGTGTGACAGTGGATCAGAGCAGGTAGAGATAGAGAGGATCATTAACTCCATATTTATTATCTCTTAAAGGGAAAATAAACTGCATGTAACCTCTGCAGCTGCACCTCCTGCTGTCTCATTATAACAAACATGTTTATTTTTGTTGCACTGGTTATTTAGTAATACAGTCATATTTCCGTTTATCAGAATCAGATTGTTTTAGTCCCACAGAGGGGAAATTGACTACAAAATCACCCTCTTCACTCATCAGTGCATATATGGAAATGCTCCCTCCTACATCAAGGACTCACCCCACAAACCTCCACGAGGAACCTACGTTCAGTAAAGGCAAACCTCCTCATCCCACCAAGGACAAAACTGAAGACCATGGGAGACCGAGCCTTCTGCTCCGCTGCTCCGAGACTGTGGAATGCCCTCCCAAACCAGCTGAGGACACCACAGACTGTGGATGCTTTTAAAAAAGGCCTAAAAACGCATCTTTTTAGAATAGCCTTTAACTAGATTTTTAAATCCCCCACATTATGCCATGCCGGCATGAATTTCACGGCTTCTATTATGTTTTTTAAAAAATTGTTTTTTATTGTTTTTGTTGTTCTGTTTCACCCTTTTTAATTTTGTAGCACTTTGAGTTTTGTTTACGCAAATGAAAAGTGCGCTTATAAATAAAATATATTATTAGTGTGTGTGTGTGTGTGTGTGTGTGTGTGTGTGTGTGTGTGTGTGTGTGTGTGTGTGTGTGTGTGTGTGTGTGTGTGTGTGTGTGTGTGTGTGTGTGTGTGTGTGTGTGTGTGTGTGTGTGTGTGTGTGTGTGTGTGTGGTAACAATGCACGTTCATTTAATCTATATTTACATTTAATATCATGTTTTCCAAATGTGCTAATAAACTTTTCTGAAGCTTTTTTGTTAGTTTCACTTTTATTGGTTCAAGCTAATTTTTCTTCCTACAAATGATATGCTTTGAAAAGGTGATCCAGACAGAATCAGATGTTTCCATCAAGACACTTTTAGTGACATCTCTAACTCGTTATCTTTTCATTGACTTGTTGTGATGAGTTGTTTGGCTTCTGTTGATGTTGTGAGACTCGTGGTTAACCAATATAAAATGAAAAGCTTTCTACATATTGTGGTGGAAATTCTTGAAATAAACTAGTCAAAGAGTTGTCCTTCTGAGTCTTTAATCATGTTTTGCAAAAGAGGCGCACCGCATACTGAGAGCAATGTCTCCACAGCCGAGTGCAACTACTCAGACCAAGGGCGCCGGAAGCGGCGGATGCCGCGGAACACTGTACAAATCCCGTTTCAATAATTCCCCTCTACTCTAAAGTCGCATCTAAAACGCGATCTGATCTAGCTGTGTATATTTTGTTATTTTTGATTGTTATATTCAATCTCATTAGCTACAGGCATTTTTTAAACTTGTAAAGGGAAGATGACAGCTCGCCTCTCATTCGCCACTCTGCTCTTCCACAGCGCCGCTTCCCCTCCCTCTGCTGAAATTATGAATGTAAGGCTTATAGTAATCATAGATAACACGGCAGGGTCTGTTACAGTTTGTTTTTATCTGATTTTAAATAAACAAAGTCTTGGCTTTCAGAATATTAAACTTCTTTCGGCAAATTCAGATGATAAATACAACTTTGAAGCTTGTAACGGCATAATTACAAGCGGAGAACGGAGTAACTTTACGCTTGCAGGCATAACAACAGCCGGTGTTTCTCGTGAGTGTTTTCCCCGGGAAACAAACACAATACACACAAACGCAAAAATACACAAACACACACACCTGGACCTTCATCAATCATAGAAACAGCGAAGCCAGATGAACCCAAAAGCAGCAGCTCTGCGGCCGCAGAGACTGTCAAAACCGCCGCCGCCACCGCCGTCGTTGAACCGAAACAGGCTGGTTCCGACTGCATGGAGGTTTGTTTTCGGGACATTGAGGCGGGTAAAGCTTCGACAGCTAAACTGTCGAAAAAAAGGAGACCGCTAGATTATTTGGGCAAAGAGAAAGGTACTTCAACGCAGAATGGTACAAAAACAGAGAGTGGTTAATTCTTTGCACAACCACTAAACGGGCCTTCTGTGAAATATGCAGATTTGCTGCTGTCAAACGGCTTGTAACTTTCTCAAAATGTGGAGATGATAGCTTTCTTAATACCGGAGTTAATAACTGGAAAAAGTGCCCAAGCCTCCTGGACAGCCACGAAAAGTCTCATTTCCATAGAGAGTGTATTAAAAAAAAGTGCGCTTTCTTCAGTCAAACACCAGTCAACATACAGCTTGTCAAACAACAGCGTATTGAGCAGGAAAAAAGAAGAGATGGAATGATGGAGCAACTGCGCTGTCTGCAGTTTCTAACCGGACAGGGCCTAGCAATCAGGGGGCATGCGGATAAGGAGAGCAATTTCCAAAAGCTAGTTGAACTCGTAGCTGAGAAAAACCCCACTCTGAAAAGCTTCATGCTCACCGGGAAATATGCATCACATGAGACAATTAATGAACTTATAAATCTAATGTATCGGGAGTCTCTCACCACTATATTAACTGAAATTAAAAGCAATGCAAAACACTATGCAGTTATTGTGCTTCCAGCAAACATCCACTGATAAATTGCGATGTTAACAACCTCATGATAACCTCATATTTTTTTTAACTTAGGATCATAGGCTACCTGTGTTTAGTCTAGAAAAAGGTAAATGTGTGCATTTTATTATAAAGTTGTGTATATTTACAGACTGTTGCAAAAACTAAGAAGCTTATAAACATCAGGTTTAAAACTAAAAGAGCTTTACAAAAAAGTAACACAATTAAAGATGTTTGCAGTTTTATTTGAGTTATTAATTTACATTTGTTGTCAAAGAGATGCTGATTTGAAACCGTTGTTACATACAGTTACGGCATTTCCTGTTTCTGCCGGAGAGAGGGGAGTTTGTCCCAAAGCTTGCCGCTGTATTTACTCCCTCCATCTGACAGGAGGGAGTCTCATGTGTCACTCCACGGAGTTCACTCCGTCACGGAGGGGGAGTGTGTAGGGGTAGGGTGTAGGGCGTGGTTTGGGATTGGGCCATACACACGCACTTTTTTGGCCGCCCCACTTCTAAAATGAATCCGGTGCGCCTGACTCAGACTGAAGAGAGGGCTTTCATACAGTTACAATGAATACGCTTATTCATGAGATAACTGACCCCTGACCCTATCAAAGTGCAATAGAGCCATGATCACTGATCATCCCCTGTGTGGTCACATGACTGATCATTTACCTGAGTGATGAGACACACAATGTTATTATATGTTACAGATGGAGCCTCTTATTTTGGACCCCAGCATACAGCTTCCTGCCGACTGCCAGCCAGTTGCCAGCCAGTTGCCTGCCAAAGACCAGTATTCAGGAATGTTAGGCCCTCCCACTATTCTCCAATTTCAGGGTTTAACCAGGAGATGGCGCTATATATTAAATAACTAAGACTTAGTTTTTCACAATAGAAAATGCAGATATTATATAAAAAACTAAAGTTAAAATCTTGTTTTTAATGCCCCAAGAGCAATAACATCTTGTCACAAGCTTTTTGGAAGAAAAAGACTGACTCAAGAGACCTGTAGTTGACTAATTACAGGCCTCAATAAAGTTCTGCCATTGGTTGTGAAAAACAACGGTGGACATAGTGGAAAGTGAAATTGACATTGTCGAATTTAATAAAAATACAAAATAATGTATCTGTGTACGTGTTTTACTATGTGATCTGCACTTATCAAACATCTAATTAAGGCGAGACACCCCAGGTGAATAGGGTATTTTTAACTTAAAGATATCAGCTAAATATTTCTCCAGTTAATTACTTACAATAAGGCAATTGTTTTTTGTATTACAAGTTTTCTGAAATAGCATGTTTAAATATCCAAATGAACCATTATCTCATGAAATATGCGCATATTTTAACACATTTCAGGAACCGAAATCTGAACTTTGGATAAAGCCAGGATCAAAATTATTGTTTCATTTTGTAGTCATATTAGTATCTAAGGCTTTTACAGAAGGGATTTTGGATATCTCTTTGTATCACTCCATAAATTAGAAAATACTGTCAACAGCCCTAAAATATCAATTTTCACCATGTTTTTAGGTATAAAATGTTATATAATTCAGGCTATGAATTATATATGACCAAACCCTTCTGTAAAAGCCTTCATAATATTGATAGGAATATAACTGGAAGGTTTGGTGTATGTAACTGCTGAGTGATTCTACAATTTAGGGTACATTCCATGTCCATTGATGTCCATTGATGATAATTATAATTATTCTAACTATTTTCTTCAAAAATATCATATTTTGCCTATTATTGGAAAGCATGTTATAATATCACACAAACATTATGTGCATCCTATGCTTTATTTAGCTTGAAATGTGTCATGATGTTCTTAAATTGTCAGTTTTTGCTATGTCCGTTTTTCAGTTGAGGGTGTCTTGGATTCAAAATAATGAATAAAAACCATTAAAGTAAATTTAAAAAATGATTCATTTATTTCAAAAGTCTAAATACTAAAGAATAATAACATATTTTTAATTGATTTCCCCCTTTAAATAATTTAAATATCTTAATATATGAATGTCCGCAAAAGTTCTGTCAACTATGTTACTAACAGAACTTCCCCCTTTAACTCAAAAATTGTTTGTCCCAATACCATGTCACCAGCATCACATGATGCCATGTTCCTCTTTGGCAGACATTTTGAACACACTGTGGTGATTGTCCTCTACATTTTTACAATATTTTATGTATAATAGCACATGGTCAATTAATATACTCATTGACAATCAACAATGTTACGTACATTGTTATGGTTTACAATTGTTTAATGATTTTAATTCAATTATATGTGCAAATGTGATGTTAACCTGTTCAAGAAAATGACATGTGGTCATCCAGGCAAGGCCTACCATTGAAATGATGGGTCAAAATAGGGAAATTGTCAACTAGGTTACCTGTCAACTGAGTTACCCAGTACTGTAATAACTGTAGTAACTTAGTTGACAGGTAACCTAGTTGACAATTTGTATGACATGTAGACGTCATTACACATCATTATCAATGGAATTTTGCACTTCTGCCTTGAAATTAACATAGTGCTGATGGTTAATAATGTGTCCAGTCAACTATGTTATTTGCGTCAAATGTTTGACTTTCATTGTCAACTATGTTGCACCTCATTTTTTCAAATTTAAAATATCTAAAATAGTGCTTCTGATATCCTTTATAGTATAATGTATATCTACACAGGTTGGAGTTTTACATGACATCTCTTAAAACTATCAAAATGACCTGTATGGTAGTTTTATAATACAAAATATCCCTAAACTTAATGACAGTGCTGAACATATCACATGAAAAAACAAAACTTTAATACAATTATTTTTTAAACTTTAAAAAATCTTTGGATATATGGTAGAATAGACTCAAGAGCCTTTCAAATTTGATTTTACTTGAAGTGCAGGACTTAATCAAATGATTGTAATGACATCAAGTTTGTCCGTAACATAGTTGACAAACTGAGTAGTGAAAACATCCTTTCCCTTAAAATAAAAAAATATATAAAAATGTTTAAGCTTTGC